ACAGGTCTCCAAAGGAGGCATCAACAGCGGCCTACGAGAATCAGCGAAATGCTCCCCCAAACCGAACGGCGCCCACTATGGGAATCAGTATAAATGAAGTCGAAAGGGACATTCCATATATTACAATTATTATTTTTCTATACTAAAAAATCTAGTAGCAAAATTCTAATAAGGAATAAAAAAGTGAGGAAATTTTACTCTATTGTCACTCACCGCTCCCTGCATCGTAATGCTCGTTCATTAACTCTCTGAATATGTCAATAGGATTCTTCGCAGCGTAGCTCGGGTCATTCTTGACACTTCGAAGTTTCTTAAAAATCAAAATCAATATTTAAAAACGGAAAGCCGATATTTATTGTTTAATTTTACGGTGTGGGGAAATACTACCTCGTAAACAATTCTATCCCCTTTTTGTTCCGCATACTTTTGTGGCTGGCATACGTGCCCGATTTCGCATGGATTGGTGAGAAATTCGTTTCCAGCAACCTAAAAAGTATATAATTATGAAGACTAATTTAATTTTTCAGGAGGGGACAAGAGATCGTACGCGTCTAAACCGTTTGCAAGGGGAGCTAAATGGTTTAATGCGACAGAGCTACAATATGTCGAGTGAGCCACCCAGCACATTGTGGACCAGGGCACGTCCTGACGTTGGGGAGAAATGTTCCAAAATACTATCCCCTCCCCAGCGGTCAAAATACGCCCCCACTCACTGGTGATTCCCAACGTACGACGTGCTCTGACCTGTACCCTCTCAGAATAACTCAAACTCACTTCAATCCGCTCCCTATTCTGTTTTTCACCATTTCTCCTACGTTCAGCTCTACAGCCTTGACAACCATACACCGCATTGGACTTTTTCGGCCACAAGTGGAAGAAAGTGTAGGAGTAAGGGGTCCCTGGAATTCTATAGATAATCACATCTTTCTTCCCGTTCTTACTAGGCTGCCTCTTCTCCGAAGAATTGCTTCCGTGGAGGTGGTTCCGGCAATGCTTCCGTAGACCCTAGTGAACCTGAAAAACAAGGGTGAAGGGATGCATGCGAGGATGTGGGATGTATGTGAGGTGCACAGGGGGTTGGGCTGAGACGCGACGGTGATGGGTGCAGTGACAGGTCCCCAGACGAATAAGAAGATGACGACGCAGGTGACTGAGGAAGCGGGGAGGGAGGTAAGGGGCTGGGGTGAGATGATGACGGTTCGGTCTTGACAGGAAGCATGGCTGGAACTGGAAGAAGTGGGCTAGAAAAATATGCGTCAACATTTTGAAAGTAGCCAAGGAACGCTGCAGAGCCAGATGGAATTGGAGGTTTAATGTCGGGAGCAGAAGGAGCTGCAAGGCGGGGAGGACGCGGTGAAGGAGCTGGTTTATGAAGGTGCGCTGAAGATGATGGACCAGGAGATGATGGAAGGGGAGGAGGAGGTGCTAGGCGAGGAGGGCGTGTAGATGAAGGGTCATGCAGATCTCTCAGCGATGGTGGAAGTGGAGAAGGAGGTGCGAGTAGCGGACGTTTGGTGAAGGACTGGGCAGACCTCTGAGTGAGGAAGATTCAGTCGGTGGCGGAAGTGGAGAAGGAGGCGCGAGACGGGGAGGAGGGGTACGAGGCCTCTTCCGTGAACAAGGCGAAAGGATTGGAGGAAGTGGAGAAGGGAGGGCTGCGCGAGGATTCGTCGAGGGAGAAGACTGCCGGACTGAAGTGAGAGTTGGTGGAGGTGGAGAAGGGGTTGCAAGACGTGAACGGCCTTCCATCGGAGGAGCGCTTAGAATTTGTTGCAGGGTCGAAGGCTTACTGGATGGGGCAATGGACGAAGAGGTGCGGACGGGCTGAGGATGGGACGATGAAGGTGGAGGAGAGTGGTGGAAGGTGTTGGGGAAGAATGTGTGAGAGGAGGAGCATCACCTAATGGAATAGGCGATGGGGACGAGCGAGGGGACTCTGGAGACTCACACTTAAGGCGAGCAGGAACAGGTGAAGCGAAGCGAGGGGGTGGCGACGAGGTCGGCCGAAAAAAAGTAGTGGGGCTGGGTAACAATTACAGGGATAGGGAACAGGGTACGGAGGCATTGCATACGGAGGAAATGGATACAGAGGTGGAGGCGGAAAAGGGTAGTAAAAGGGTGGAATGCATAGACTGTGAAGGAGATGTACATAAAGGGGTACGGTGGAACTGGGTGGTGGTGGATAGGGAGGTGGTGGGTAAGCACAAGCACTGTAGCCCTTATGAGGACTGTTTGGATTGTTTGCAGACATAGACACGACGCAGACTTGACACACACGAACAATAAGTTCCCAGATCGATTATCCCAGCTGCTTATATACTACCCCAGTGACCCTGGATTCTAGAGGTGTAGTTAGGTCAGGTAATTGGACTATCGCGCTCGATAGGTAGCGCCTGACCGTACCCACGGGTACCACTGGGCATTTAGTCAGAACTCATAACATGATGAGGCCGCCTCGTACCTTCTCTCACTAGCCATCGGGCAGAGCTCGATTAACTAGGTGGGTGAATGGTAGGCGCTTTCTGTTAGACTCCGTTAAGGCGGAATAACGGGGACGTTGCTTTACTTCTTCCGTCCTGTTAAGAAGGCACACCGGTTTCCTGTCCCCGCCTACCTGGTTGTCGTGGAGTATGCCTACATTCAGAAAGAATGTCTCAAATAGCTACAGCACAACGAAGTGAAGATTGAAGGGAGTGCAGAGAAAAAGATAGCAGAATAAAAGGAAAAGTCTAGAAATTTCAATTAAGAGTAAGAACTTACGGCGTGCATTAGTTGATTTTCTATTATATTACATTCGTTATCACTCAAGTCAGTCGGGGCGTGTCAGCGGGGCGTAAAATCCTTTGTGATCCTTCTATGATGTATTCCTTTGAGAATTTGAACAATTCCAGGAAGCCTTTGAAGAAATCTACCGCTTGAAAAAACACAACGGTAGCGTCGATGAGCCGGATAATGACCAGACAACCGTGGAGGTCGAAGAATTGCGGGTAGGAGAAGTTCCAGCTTCAATACCCGTTAACCTCAGCTCATCACGTTTACTCTTTAACTCAAACTATTCAGCACTTTGCATCCACCATACGCCTCGGTGGCACTGAGCTGGAACGACGAACTGAAGAGATGGCCCGGAAACTGATAAGCGAACAGATCGAACGGATACGGTAGGCTCACTGTGGCAGCTTATTGACAACTCTTTGTGCCTACTACAGTCTGCGGACGCTAGAGGCATGTCAGGGGAGCTCGTATCAGTGGAAGAAGGGGTCGACAACTATTAGTGGAAAACAGGCTGGCGAACTCAGCTCCCTTGACACGCCCTGGCATCCAATGAAAGTAAGACTGTATCCTGGACATGGGAGGGCGTGGCTGTACTCCCTCAGAACGTTGTGTCCGCTGCGCTTATGATGTAACATTGTCGTTGCGGGACAATGCTTATCATGCTTT